CTTAATGCACAAGTTTAATAACAATATTTCTCTATCATTAACGTAAAGAAGACCAAGATGGAAAAGAAAAACATTTTCTAGCACATCCACTTGCCTTTTTAAGCTTCTGATACCTTTCTTCTGGAGTGTCAAAACCATTTGTTAATGCAGAGACTGAAGGTCCATCACTAATTCCTATATTTTAAGAAATAAAAATTTTTATCTAATAAATGCTAACATAAAAATGCCAGTCAACCATTCAGTGCCTCAGTGATATCCTATCATGAATTAAGGTTATTTGGAAGCACTCCCTAACTTAACTTTTTCAAAATTAGCATTAACTGCACTGGGCACCAGGTTAAACCCTCTAGTAACAAACTTAGAGACATGAATGTTTCAACTTGAAAATAGGCAGTTTCAGTGTCTAAAACGTGACTAAAAACACACTAATCATTTAAGAAAACCACCTCTATGCTTAAGTTTTGCTGCTTTAAAGGATTCTTGTATAAGCAGACATCAATAAATCCTTAGGTATATTATTGCCGGAGTTCAAATCTTGGTCAAGAGTTTGGAGTGGTTGATATCTACACAAACAATGTATTTTCAAGGTCAAGAAAAAATTATTTCTGGTGAAAACTCTTAGCTTCCTAGGGAACTGACTCCAACTAGCAACTGCTTAAAGCCAAGGACAATATTTACCCTTGCATAGATTCCTGCATGATTCAAACATGGAAAATCAGATAGCAAAAATGGATATCCATATCAAAGGGAGTGAACCGTTGAAACTGACATCAACAATTTAAAAACTAGCCGGGCATGGCACAGTGGCTCACGCCTGTAATTCTAGCACTTTGGGAGGCCGAGGTGGGTGGATCACCTGAGGTGAGGAGTTCAAGACCAGCCTGGCCATCATGGTGAAACCCCATCTTAAAAAAAAATAAAATAAAATAAAAAAATAACTAGTCTTTGCTACCTCTAAAAAAGGGAAAAAAGGCCAGGCGTAGTGGCTCATGCTTATAATCCCAGCATTTTGGGAGGCTGAGACAGGTGGTTCATTTGAGGTCAGGGGTTCAAGATCACCCTGGCCAAAAGGGTGAAATCCCATCTCTACTACTAAAAATACAAAAATCTGCCAGGCATAGTAACACATTGCCTGTAATCCCTGCTACTCGGGAGGCTGAGGCAGGAGAATTGTTTGAACATGGGAGGCAGAGGTTGCAGTGAGCCAAGATGGGACCATGGCACTCCGGCCTGGGTTAAGAAACAAGACTCCGTCTCAAAAAAAAAGAAAAGAAAAAAGGCGGGTGGGGAACTTGCAACTTTAAGTGTCAGTGAAGTATTTACCGCACACACACCAGCTGAGGCAGGCAATGGACATGGACATGTGCACTAATGCATAAAGGAATATCTCATTTAACTGCAAAAACCTGACCCTAGGCAGTCACAACAGGGCAAATATTCTAAGATTCCACTTATAAGGAGATGTCAAGGGCAGTCAAATTCAGAGACAAATAATGATTGCTAAAGGCTGGGGAGGAATGGCGAGTTCAATGTGTAAAGAGTTTCAGTTTGTGAAGATGAAGAATTCCTAGAGATGAATGGTGATGTTTGCACAGCAATGTGAATGTACTTAATGCCAATTAACTGTAAAGTCACTTAAAATGGTAAATGTCATGTTATATATATTTTACCATTAAAAAAAAGTCTGACCCTAATCCTCAAGCTCTCCAAAATGTATATGCTGCAGTTTTAAGCAGCACCAAAACCATCATCTCTATCTGCCATTCTGAGTCCAACACAAACCCATGGCATCTCTTCCTTTCTTCCGTGCTTTTGAAACGTTTAAAGGGAAACGTTGAGACCTGTGAAACCCACCCAAGGCTAACAGTGAGAAGCCACCATCAGGCATAAGAAGTCGGGGGCTGGGGGAATTGAAGGAGCCTTGGCTACGCATTTTAAGGTTCTAGCTCTGAGCTTGCAAGGGAGGGATACCTGAAAACTCCCCATCGATGGCGAAGAAGTCTGCCTCCTCTATGGCCTGGTACACTTTGTGAAGATTGCTCTTAAAATCTGCGGAGAAACCGAGAAGAGGCTCAGAACCGTTGGCCTATATTCCTTCTAAGGGGAAAGGAAAGGAGGGCCGAGAGCCGGAAGGGGACAGGTCGCAGGGGTGTGCACCTGCACGAAGGGATCAAGTCCTTGAGGGGTGCATGGGCCAGAGGGGTATAAGGCCCAGGGGGTGCCCGAATCGGAGGACAACGCCCCGAGGGTGCCGCGGTTGGAGAAGTAAGTACAAGGCCCCGAGGGTGCACGGTACGCAGCGGGACAAGACCCCAGGAGGCGCACGGGCTTAAGGAGGTAAAAGCCCTTAGGCGGCTACCTCAGCCCCAGTCCCAGCCAAACAGGCCGGCCATGGTCTCGGCCTAGCAGGCCAGGGGCAACCGGGTGTGGGGAGGAGGGGAAGTGCAAGGCGGACACGCACTGCTCCTGATTATCTCCATTCTGCAAAGTGGCCGGAATCCCGGCCCTACCCGGGCCCGCGCCCGTCTCAGCGGTTCTACTCGCCGAATTCCGCGGCAAACGCGGCTGTAGTAGCGGCAGCAGCAGCAGCAGAGACGGGGCCGCAACTTCCGGACACAGCCCTCGCCTGCTGCGCTTGCGTCAGCGCCTGCGTCGGCGGCGGGGGCGGGGCCAAGGCTGGGCTTCTTTCCTTCCAGCGACAGGGTAGGGGCGTGGCTATCGAAGTCCCAAAGGCGTGGCCTAATTTGTGCGTGCATTCAGTTTAGCAGAAAAAAATGTGCCTGTCTCGACATCCAGTCGACCAGGAAATACTGGGTTTCTATTATGTGCTAGCCACCCTTATAGGGGTGTAGATACAGTGATGAACAGGAAAACGTGCTCCCTGCCGCATTGTAGGTTAAACTTGGGATGAGGGGAAATTCAGGCGAGAGTCCAACTTGCCACTTGAGAACACATGAAAATCGCTATGAAGAAAAAAGAGCAGGGTGAGCCGGGGGCGGTGGCTGACGCCTGTAATCCCAGCACCTTGGGAGGCCGAGGCGGGCGGATCAAGAGATCGGGAGTTCGAGGCCAGCCTGGCCAATAAAGTGAAACTCCATGTCTACTAAAAATACAAAAAAATTTAGCTGGGCGTGGTGGCTGGCGCCTGCAGCTACTTGGGAGGCTGAGGCAGGAGAATCGCTTCAACCTGGGAGGCGGAGGTTGCAGTGAGCTGAGTTCATGACACTGCACTACAGCCTGGGTGACAGAGTGAGACTCCATCTCAAAAAAAGAAAAGAAAAGAAAAAGAGCGGATGCTGTAATAGAGAATAATGGAATCCAGGCGAGGTGGCTCACACCTGGAAGCCTAACACATTGGGAGGCCGAGGCGGGAGGATCACTTGAGCTCAGGAATTCGAAACCAGCCTGGGAAGCATTGTGAGACGTGTCTCTTAAAAAAAAAAAACCTAAAATAAAAAGAATGATGGAGGTTGTTAGGTGATCAGGGAAAGTAAAGCTGAGACCTTTAGCTACTGCACTAGCTTCTGGGAATACTGTGTCGAGTGCGCCATATGAGGTCTGGCTCCAGTGGAATTGTATGCTGGTTTGGGGTTGCTGTTCTCCAAAGCCTAGAATTGGGCTGACACGTAGTAGAGGCTCAATAAGCATGGGTTGTGTGAATACATTCAGGTTCTTTCAAAAAAGCCAACTCTGAAAAGTTGGTTAGGGCCCGGCACAGTGGCTCACGCCTGTAATCCCAGCACTTTGGGAGGCCGAGGAGGGCAGATTGGTTGAGACCAGGAGTTCGAGACCAGCCTGGGCAACACAGTGAAACCCTGTCTTTACTAAAATACAAAAAATTAGCCAGGCATGGCGGCCTACGCCTGTAGTCTCGGCTACTCTGGAGGCTGAGGCAGGTGAATTGCTTGAACTCGGGAGGAGGAGGTTTTAGTGAGCCAAGATTGTGCTACTCCAGGCTGGGCGACAAATCGAGACTCCGTCTCCAAAAACAACAACAACAACAATAACAGCAACAGAAAGTTGATTAGAAGACCTATTTTCAAATCTACCTCGGCCACTTATTATCTCTGGAATGTATTAAACCTTCCTAAACCTCAATTTCCTGGGATCGTATTGAGGCTCAGTAGTGGTAATGTACATGAATTGATAAGTACTGTATTAACAAATCTGTATAAATAACTGTTTAATGGGGGCCTGCCAACGTGGCTTACACCTGTAATCTCAGTGTTATGGGGGGCTGAGGCAGGAGCATCACCTGAGTCCAGGAGTTACAGACCAGCCTGAGGAACAGAGGGACACCCTGTCTCTACAAAAACAAAATGAAATTTTAAACTGAGTCAGGCGTGGTTGTGCACGCCTGTAGTCCCAACTATTCAGGAGGCTGAGGTGGGAGAATCGCTTGAATCCGAAAGGCGGAGGTGGCAGTGAGCCCAGACCGCGCCACTGTACGCCAGCAGGGCAACAGCGAGATTCTACCTCAAAAACAAATAACAAGAACAAAACAAAACCAGATATCAGCATAAGTTCTAGACGCTGTGACCTAGACGCTGTGAAGGAGCGAAACGTGGTGATAAAATCATTTCAGGCTGTGCGAGGTAGCTCACGCCTGTAATCTCAGCACTGAGGAAGACTCAGGCAGGAGAAACCCTTGAGGCCAGATGTTCAAGACCAGCCTGAAAATCCCGATCCTTTTGTTTCAATAGAAACAAAAGTCACTTAATTTCGATTCCTAACACCGCAAATTGAACTTATAGTCCTGTGATTTTCTGCATAAAATGTGAAGGCAAAAAATAACTGTGGAGAGTACCGTGCGGTATTGTAATATTATTTTAATTTCTGGGCAAAGCTTGTATCCTCCGGATACAAAAACGGCCGCCAGGAGGGAGGAGCGGACAGCGACACACACCCGTCACGCTTCGGGGTGTAACTTCCGACACTAGCCCTTGGTCTGTGGGAGAAGAGGAAGGGGCGGAACCCGTGGTGTTACGCATGCGCCCCTTCCTCCGGCGGTGAGAGGCCGCTCTAGGCAGCGGGGAGGTCGCGGAGTTGAGGGAGTAGGGAAAGGAGAGCGGCCTCTCCTCTATGGTCGCAAGGCCGGAGCATTTTCACCCAAAGTCGGTCCTAAGTTACTTCCGGTAGCGAAGCCTCTACCTCTTCCTCTGCTCCCGCGGGGGGTCCGGGCAGGGAATAATGGCCGAGTGGGCCCCGGGACAAGTGGAATGGTAAGCCGCGGCACGGCTGGGGGGTGTGAGGGGGCGACCCGGGCTTGATTTCGAGTCGTGATGTGGAAGACTGAGCGTCAGTCCTCTTTGCGGAGCCGCCCGGGCCGGATCGGAGGAAGCGCTTCGGCCTCTCCTCACGCAGGCCGGAGTCCTGAGCATCCCCAGTCTTGGCCGCGGGGTGCGGACTTCAGCTTGGCCAATTGCCCTATCCCTTCCCGAGAGCCCCATGTCCGCACAGCCGGTGGCTGGGCCTCGCTTGCGTCCTGTAGGGATCAAGGGTCAGAGCCACTCGCTCCAGGGGCTCCCTAGGGTGGGAAGGAGGAGGTGTCGCTTCTAAACACCTTGGAGGGGGACCACGGGACGCCTGCCCGCCAGGAGCGCCTGCCGCACCCTGCAGCAGCCGGGCCAGACTTGATGAGGCACCTAATAGTCGCCAGCGTGAGCTTGCGGTCTCATTGGCGAGGCACGTTCCCGGCCCAAGGCGCAGCGATTGTGCCCACTCTTTAAAATAGGGTGACCGAAGCGCAGAAGAGAGAAAGTGAAACCCCAAAGGCATTCTGGGGCCAGGCAAGTACTCCGCTCTTCTGATTCTGCGCGTTGCGGCTCGGAAATAACTTGGGCAAAAGGGAATTTTTTTTTCCTTCTTTTTTTTCCCTGAGACGGGCTCTCACTCTGTCGCCCAGGCTGGAGTGCAGTGGCGCGATCTCGGCTCGCTGCAACCTCCGCCTCCCGGGTTCAAGCGATTCTCCTACCTCAGCCTCCTAAGTAGCTGGGATTACACAGGCGCTCGCCACCACGCCCAGCTGATTTTTGTATTTTTAGTAGAGACAGAGTTTCACCATTTGGTCAGGCTGGTCTTGAACTCATGAACTCGTGATCCGCCCACCTCGGCCTCCCAAAGGGCTGGCATTACAGGCGTGAGCCACCGCTCCCGGCCGGGGATTTTCTTTTCTTGAAAAAGCAGGCGAGAGGGGGCGACAAATCAAAGTCAGGTTGTATCTAAACGGGGATCTTTGGCGGGGCGGGAGGCAGCACCCTGGCTTTAGCGGAAAAGAGAAACTGAGCCTAGTCGCTGTTAAGCCCTCAGCTGTCACCGTTGGGTCCTCCCTGCCGAAGCCCATTGGTCGGTCCTTTGGGGGTGGTCTTGATGTCACGCTCCGAATGGCCAATAGGAAAGAACTTTGCTCTCAGGGCACACCCCCGAGCCGGCCAGGACTGCACGTGCTGATGGGGTTATTTTGTTTTTGTCGCTGCTGTTTTGTCAACACCCAGCCTGGGTGTATCCTGACAGATGTGCTCTGCTTTTCCATATATACATAAACTTGATGGAAAAAATTGTATTTCTCCAGGGCAGTTCTTTTCGTTTGCTTTTTGGCTCCAGCGTTTGGCACTGGCACTAAGTATGTAGCCATCACTCAATAAATGCTGCTACTGATAATTCTGTTAATAATGCTCGTCAGCCACACAGCAAACTCTTTGACTATCTATTTATAGTTTGTCAACGAGACCTCACAGCAGGGCGGGGCTCCGCAGCTCACGCCTGTGGTCCCAGCAGTTTGGGAGGCTTAAGTGGGAAGATCCCTTGAGTCCGGGAGACCAGACCAACCTAGGCAACATAGGGAGACACTGTCTCTTTAAAAATTGTTTTAAAAGTAAACCTCCCGGCCGGGCGTGGTGGCTCATGCCTGTTATCCAAGCACTTTGGAGGCCAAGGCGGGCGGATCACCTGAGGTTGGGAGTTCAAGACCAGCCTGACCAACATGGTGAAACCCCGTCTTTAAAAAAAAAAAAAAAGTAAACCTCCCAGCTGGGTGCAGTGGCTTATACTTGCAATCCCAGCACTCTGGGAGGCTGAAGCGGGTGGATCAGAAAGTCAGGAATTTGAGACCAGCCTGACCTCTACTAAAATACAAAAATCAGCCAGGTGTGGTGGCACATGCCTGAAATCCCAGCTACTCAGGAGGCTGAAGCATGAGAATCGCTTGAACCTGGGAGGCAGAGGTTGCAGTGAGCCAAGATGGTGCCACTGCATTCCAGCCTGGGAGACAGAGTGAGACTCTGTCTCAAATTTAAAAAAAAAAAAAAAAAAAGGGAAACCTCCCAACTGCCCTTTGAAGTTGACAGGATTATCCTAGATGAGATCAATAGGAAATAGGAAGTTTAGGAAGAATAAATTGTGACCAGATTTGAACTCAGATTAGTGTCACTCCTAAGACTATACTGTTTCAACTCTACTAACCTCTCTAATGAGAAATTATAGTCCAGGAGATGAGAAAATATACACAAATAAAAGTTTAAATAAATAAATGTACACAAATAAAACAGACAGAGACAAGAAAGATTAATTTGAGTGTTGGGGGAGTTAGTCATTAAAGACTTTTAAGTGACAGTTGATTTGGGTCTTTTCAGTTGGATACATTTGACCCAGCAATATTGTGAAGCTGTGTTACAGATGAAGGGAACAGTGAGAGGGTAAGGAAAAATGTCCAAGGCTGGATGCTGTGGCTTACACCTGAAATCCCTGCACTTTGGGAGGCCAAGGAGGGCAGATTGCTTGAGCTCAGGTGTTGAAGATCAGCTTGGGATACATAGTGAAACCCTGTCTCAACAACAAAAAAATATATAGAAAATTCAGGCTGGAGTAGGGGTATGCACCTGTAGTCCCAGCTACTCAGGAGACTGAGGCAAGAGGATCGCTTGAGTCCTGGGGGCGGAGATTGCAGTGAGCCGAGATCATGCTACTGCGTTCCAGCCTGGGCAACAGAGCAAGACCCTTTCTCAAAAATTCCCAAGGAACAGGACTTAATAGGTAGGACTACAGTGTAGTGTGAGCAGGGAAGTAGAAAGGGAAAATCACAGTGATAGTAACAGGTAACATTGACATGGGCACTTACTGTGTGCCCAGCACTATTTTGAGTGCCGTGCATATATTCATTTAATCCTTTCAACAACTTAGGCAAGTATAACTAAGACCCCCATTTTACAGATGAGGTACCGGAGGCACGGAAAGGTTAGGTGACTCTTCTGGTATCATGCAACTAATCATTGGTGGAGCTGGGATTTTAACTCATTCTGGTCCCAGAGTTTGGGCTCTAAGTTAAAGTTATGTTTATTGCTAGTGGACTATAAAGAAACAATGATCAGCTTACCACTGTGGGTTTTATTTTCTTGTAGTGGGGAAGATTTTGAACAAATAAGGGACTTAATCAGACTGGGAGGATGACTCAGGCAATGGAGAAAGGATTGATTGGTGGAAAGAGGAGACCGGAAATGTGATTTGAACTTTGTTTTGTTAACACCATACCCATATCTTATGTAAGACATACATACATTTGTATGTAACAGCTCTCTAGTTCCCAAACTTCTGTGTGCCTAAGAATTTTCTGAAGGACTTGTTAAAATATACGTTCCTGGGTCTCTCTCCCAGACATCCTTGTTCAGATTAACCAAACTTCCTGGGTGACTCTTACTGAGGTATTAAGAACCACAGTACTGTGATAGGAAGTCAACTGTTTATTGATTTGATTTTCATCTACAAATAAATAGAGCCCAGCTTTGTGTCAGCCACTCTTGGCTGTGATGATAGAATTCAGTGGGTTGGTTCCTTTCCTTAGGAAACTCAGGATTTGGTTGGAGAGGCAAAGACATCACTGAAATAGTATGTAGAAAGCATAACAGCAATATATTTTAACGTGTATTTTGAGACAGGGTCATGGTCTATTTCTCAGGCTGTAATGCAATGGCACGATCATAGTTTATTGCAGCTTTGACTTCGTTCCCTGGGCTTAGGTGATACTCCCACCTCAGCCTCCCACATAGCTGGGACTACAGGTGCGTGCCACCACACCTGGCTGATTTTTGTATTTTTTGTAGAGATAGGGTTTGACCATGATGCCCAAGCTGATCTTGAAGTCCTGGCAATCCACTCACCTTGGCCTCCCAAAGTGCTGTGATAAAAATACCTTAAAACTAATACTTAGACCAGGCATGGTGGTCCACACCTGTAATGCTTGCACTTTGGGAGGCTGAGGCAGGAGGACCACTTGAGCTCAGGAGTTCAAGAGCAACATAGTGAGACAGTGAGACCTCATATCTTTCTCTTTTTTTTTGAGACAGTCTTGCTGTTGCCCAGGCTGAAGCTGCCCAGGCTGAAGTGCAGTGGCGTGATCTCAACTCACCGCAACCTTCACCTCCCCAGCTCAAGCGATTCTCCTGCCACAGCCTCCCGAGTAGCTGGGACCATGGGCACACACCACCATGCCTAGTTAATTTTTTTTTTGTATTTTTTTAGAAATGAGATTTTGCCACTTTGGCCAGGCTAGTCTCAAACTCCTGACCTCAAGCAATCTGCCAGACTCCCTCCCAAATTGCTGGGATTATAGGCGTGACCCACCATGCCTGGCCTAGTCTCTTTTTTGTTGTTGTTGTTTTGAGACAGAGTCTTGCTCTGTGATCAGATGCCAGGCTCAAGCGCAGTGGCACAGTCTTGGCTCATTGCAGCCTCCGCCTCCAGGTTCAAGCAATTCTCCTGTCTCAGCCTCCTGAGTAGCTGGGAATACAGGCATGCGCCACCATGGCCAGCTAATTTTTGTATTTTTTAGTAGGACGCAGTTTCACCATGTTGGCCAGGATGGTCTCCATCTCTTGACTTCGTGATCTGCCCACCTCGGCCTCCTAAAGTGTTGGGATTACAGGTGTGAGCCACTGCACCTGGCCTAGTCTCTGTTTTTTTGAAGAAGTATTTTAAAAGGCTAAAAGCAGGCCAGTGTGGTAACTCACACCTGCAGTTCCAGCACTTTGGGAGGCTGAGGTGGGTGGATCACCCGAGGTCATGAGTTTGAGACCAGCCTGGGCAGCTTGGTGAAACCCCATCTCTAGTAAAAATACAAAAATTAGCCGGGCATGGTGGCAGGTGCCTGTAGTCCCAGCAACTCTGGGGACTGAGACAAGAGAATCACTTGAACTTGGGAGGCAGAGGTTGCCGTGAGCTGAGATCGCGCCATTGTACTCCAGGCTGGGTGATACAATAAGACTCAGTCTCAATAAAATAAAAAATTAAAATAAAAGACTAAAAACAAACAAAAGCCAATAATTAAGGTGTGGGTAACTTGGTAACTACTCATAGTTTTTGATAGCTTTCTGAGTTGCTGAACATCTACAGCGTAGAACAGGATGGGTCCTTGAATATACGCTACAAGAAAAATAAAGAGGACAGGCTCCAGCGAGAGCCAGGATAGCACCCCCTCCTTGTGTTACCCAACACCACTCAAGGCAGTGAATCACAGGGCTTCAAGGTCTAGGCAGCAAGTCAGTATCCAGAGGAGTTAGTCACCTTTGCTCTACTGGTTTCGACCCTGTCCAGAAAGAAAATCTAGCTGGAGTTTGAAAACACAATGTTTTATACAGTAAGTGACTGGAAACGTTTCTCTTATATTAATGGGAGAGCCGGGTTTTGCCGCCTGCAGGAAGTGCACAAATTGTATTGTTCTGTTTGAGGTTTCTGAACCTTGCCAGAAACAAGTTCTTTAGTTACATGCATCACTGAGAGATTGTGTATGTTCCCAGCCCTTCCTTTTCTTTTACGGATTTAAGGATCATTATGCTTTGTCAGTTAGGCCTGTCTTCGGGGAAAACAGAGAAGGTCATCTTGATGAGATAACTTGGAAATGTCCAAATCCTCAGAGATTATGACAGTTGTTTCCTACCAGTTTTGCCAACAATGATAAGTAACGACCTGACATGAAATCAAGAGTGGAAAGCTCTGGCCAGGCACACCTGCAACCCCAGGACTTTCAGAGGCCAAGGTAGGCACATTGCTTGAGTTCAGGAGTTTAAGATCAGCCTGGGCAATGTAGCAGAACCCCATCTCTGCACAAAACTAGTCCAGGCTACATAGGAGGCTAAGGCAGGAAGATCACATGAGCCTGGGGAGGTCGAGGCTACAGTGAGCCATGATCTCACCACTGCACTCTAGCCTGGGTGACAGAGTGGGACCTATCTCAAAAAAAAGAGAGAGAGAGAGGAAAACTCTAAGCTAACAGAACTTCAAAAGCTAACTAGCCTAAAGCCAAGCTGCCTGGAAACAACCATATATCCATTAGTATACTTGGAAGAAGGCATCACGTTATGGGACAGGGGATGAAACCTCGGGGGTCAGGCAGATAACAGAACTGGAAAGGACAGGTGGGAGAGGAATATAGCTAGATGACGCTGGCACGGCTGCTGAGTTCCTTGGCTCAAGCTGATCTTGTCATGCACGATGCAATTCCAGCGTTGCCAGATCTCCGTTTTGTTGTTGTTGTTGTTGTTGTTGTTGTTGTTGTTTTGTTTTCCAAGAGAAGCCAGGAACGTAAATTTTTATGTCAAATCACTTTTTTTTTTTTTTTTTTGTACATGCTGGCACCACATTTAATTTAAAAGGAAAAGGGAGAAAAACACCAGGTGAAGGAAAGCCTGCCTGCAGGCCAGATGTTGCCCCAGTAGGGCCATGGCTGCTGGTGGTAAGACCGTTCTGGGACACAGAAGATGGATGATGATAATGGTGCATCCCCGTGGAGAGGCTCACCTGCTTCCTTGTAATCACTGCAAGAGGCAGAAAGGTGTTGCACATTGAGACCGCTTATCCCAATAGATCAACAGTATCTCTTAACCTCCTCTGGCCCCTTCTGAGAGCCTAATCCTATAGACTGCCTTCCAGAAACATACATGTATTATACACAAACACAAGCGTGGCACGGAATTCAGACTTCCCGAGGCATCTCTCCAAACTCCGGTTGAAGACCCAACTTTTTCTTCAGAAACCTCAGCTCTTCAGAATGACTCAGTCCCTATGGGAACTCCAGAGGTTTTGCTGTACTCTTCAGTTCTGTGGTGTTCTATCGTTTGTAAACTGGTTTGTTTGCTGTTTTGTAGATTTTCCCAAACCCAGGCATTCTTCCCATTCGTTTTTGAACTAAGCGATTATTGCTTCTCCGTCCACCTTTGGCTAAGATCAACTGGGTAATCAACAGTTGTAGGCTGGGCGTGGTGGCTCACACCTGTAATCCAAGCACTTTGGAGGCCAAGGCGGGCAGATCACCTAAGGTTAGGAGTTCAAGACCAACTTGACCAACATGGTTAAACCCTGTCTCTGCTAAAAATACAAAATTAGCCAGATGTGGTGGTGCATGCATGTAATCCCAGCTACTGTGGAGGCTGAGGCAGGAGAATTGCTTGAACCTGGGAGGCAGAGGTTGTAGTAAGCTGAGATCCAGCTATTGCACTCCAGCCTGCACAACAAGAGCAAAACTCTGTCTCAAAAATAATAATAATAAATTGAAAATAAAATAAAAGTCAATGCTACCATTTATGGTAGACTTACCATGTGCCAGGCTTTGTACTAGGCACTTGACTCACATTCTCTTTTTTTTTGCTGGTCCAGAAACCCAGAGGCATTCTCTTATTTACTGCTGCAAACCTCCCACTGTGGTTAAGTACTATCACAGTTCCCCGTGTATACACTAGCAGCTGAGGCTCACCGCTGGTAAATGGGAGAGGTGGGGTGAGAACCCAGGCAGCCCAGCTGTGGAACCTGTGTTCCTTACCACTGTGCCTCCAGAGCACGAAGTGTGAACCCTTCCCTGCATGGTCAGTGAGTGCAATGGAAAGCGATTTTCTTTCTTTTCCTTCACAGTAGCAATATTGAGAAACTCACCAGCAATAGTATGAATAATCATTTCTATAGCCCATATTTGCACCATACAAATTTGGAGTCACTTTCCTTCACTGTCTCTAATCCTCACAAGAAATATGGATGGTTTATGTACTGTGACCACCATTTCACAGTTGAAGAAACTTGGTTGGAGAGCTCAAGAAATTTCTGCACAGTCACAGAGTTAGTGACTTGGGGAGTTAAAAGTCTAACTCCAAGATCTTCTGTGTCATACTACCTCTCAAAAACAAACAAAAAAATCTATGGCCCAGATAAAAACAAGAAGAGAATGGTCCTTTGTCATTTGCATATTAGTAATGTTAGCATGTTTCTGTGGCACGGAGCTGGCTGGATCCAGAGGGCATGAGATGCATGTTTGGGTTGATTTGGGGAAAAAAGGATATTATTGAGCCATGGCAGATTTGGCCTGGCAAGCCAGAAAACAAGTCTTCACTCCTCATTTATTGGAATTGCTTCCATTAGAGCCTCTGAAGTCAAATATTTATAAAATATGATTGCCTAATGGGAAGGCAGATTTATGTGCACAAAAAAGTGTTATTTACAGGAAGCATATCTGTTGTTACCAACCCCAGACATTTTGCCAGGCCAAGAAGCTGGTTTATTTAAAATCATACACCTGGAAAGGTCTTTGGAAATTTAATTGAGGCCAGGCTCATACTTGTAATCCCAGCACTTTGATAGGCCAAGGCCAGCAGATCACTCGAGGTCAGGAGTATGAGATCAGCCTGGCCAACATGGTGAAAACCCATCTCTACTAAAAATACAAAAAATTAGCTGGGCATGGTGGCGCGTGCCTGTAATCCCAGCTACTCAGGAGGCTGAGGCAGGAGAATTGCCTGAACCCGGGAGGCGGAGGTTGCAGTGAGCCAAGATTGCACCATTGCACTCCAGCCTGGGTCACAAGAGCGAAACTCCGTCTCAAAAAAAAAAAAAAAAAAAAAATTAGCTGGGCCCAGTGGCAGGCACCTGTAATCCCAGCTACTCGGGAGGCTGAAGCAGAATTGCTTGAACCCAGGAGGTGGAGATTGACGTGAGCCAAGATCATGCCACTGCACTCCAGCCTGGGCGTCAGAGTGAGACTCTGTCTCAAAAAACAAAGGGAAATTTAATTGAGAATACTGAGACCAAGGAAATAGTGAAGGAGAAGGATTCAGAATTCTCTGCCACATCCTTCGAGTCTATTGAACCTTCTGCTACATGTGCCATTTTGCTTTACTACTTTTGAAAAAATATAACAAATAGGCTAGATATTCAGTGCTGATTATGTGCTTTATGGTATGTGGATTTTAGTAAATCAAATTTGTCACATTTGAAAATTAGAGTTTCAGCCTGGGCAATGTGGTGAAACCACATCTTTATTAAAAATAGAAAAATTTAGCCGAGTGTAGTGGTAAACACCTGTAGACCCAGCTACTCAGGAGGCTGAGGAGGAAGGATCATCTGAGCCTGGGGAGTCAAGGCTACAGTGAGCAGCGATTGCACCACTGGGCTCCAGCTTTGGTGAGAAGTAATGAATTAATAAAAATTAGAGCTTTAGTATTACAACTCCTTTAGATTTTGTTTAGAAGCTTTTCTGATCTCTACCAGAAAGCCTCCCATGCCCCCCCTAAAAAATGAGAGCGTTAATAGAATGACAATACTTTTATATTAACTACTCTTCAAACTGTTTGCCTGATTTTTGTCACTTTTTTTTTTCTAGATTAATGATATTTTGCAGCAGTTTTCTACATCAGAAATTTTCTATGTCTGTGGATCCCAAAATTTGCTAAGAAATGGAGGAACCTCAGAAATACTATCTGAACACAGTGGACCTTGAGAAAGATGACCCTCTCAAAAGCACCGGCCCTCAGATTTCTGTTAGTGAGTTTTCTTGCCACTGCTGCTACGACATCCTGGTTAACCCCACCACCTTGAACTGTGGGCACAGCTTCTGCCGTCATTGCCTTGCTTTATGGTGGGCGTCTTCAAAGAAAACAGAATGTCCAGAATGCAGAGAAAAATGGGAAGGTTTCCCCAAAGTCAATATTCTCCTCAGGTAATGCTCAGCCTGTATTGTTAGCACAGACAGCCCATAAAATGTGGTTTCGCTCTTGTTTTGTTTTGTTTTGAGACGGAGTCTCGCTCTGTCCCTCAGGCTGGAGTGCAGTGGCGTGATCTCAGCGGCTCCCTTTTGCCTCCTGTGTTCAAGTGATTCTCCTGCTTCAGCCTCCTGAGTAGCTGGGATTGTAGGATGACAGGTGCACGCCACCACACCTGGCTGATTTTTGTATTTTTAGTAGAGACAGGGTTTCACCATGTTGGCCAGGATGGTCTCGAATTCCTGACCTCATGATCCACCACCTTGGCCTCCCAAGGTGCTGGGATTACAGGCATGAGCCACCATTCCCTGCCTGCTTTTTCTTTTCTTTTTTTCTTTAAAAAGAAATGGGGTCTGACTATGTTGCCCAGGCTGGTCTCAAACTCCTCACCCCAAGGGATCCTCCCACTTCAGCCTCCCAAAGTGCTGGGATTACTTTGGTGTGAGCCACCATGTCCGGCGAATGGGCTTTCTCTTAATGGGAGCAGCAGTGTTTGAAAGGTCACAGACTTGGAGCTCACCGCCTTGGGGTCATAGTGGATCTGCTGGAATATGAATTAGGGAGCTCAAGGAGCTAGAAATCCAGATTCCCTTCCTCATAGGTGACCATGACTTTTTAAGTTGTTTATTATGAATGAAGGAAAGAAAGTCTGGTTAGCAGACCATTGCTTCTGATCCTGTCATACAAAGGCCAGACAAGTGACTCACACCTGTAACCCCAACACTTTGGGAAGCTGAGGCAGGAACATTGCTTGATACCAGGAATTTAAAAACAGCCTGGGCAACACGGTGAGTCCTCACCTCTACAGAAAATTTCAAAAGTTAGCCAGGTGTGGTGGCACATGCCCGTAGCCCCAGCTATGCAGGTGGCTGAGGTGGGAGGATTGCTTCAACCTGGGAGGTAGAGGCTGCAGTGAGCCCACACCACTACACTCCAGCCTGGGCAACAGAGCAAGACCCTGTCTCAAAAAAAAAAAAATAAAAGGAAAGCAAGCAAATGGTATAACTGTATAATTGTGAATAACTGATTTGATGCTGATATTCATAATCTTTAACCTCAGTTCCAGTTATTGCGTTAATAGAATTTCTCATGTATAACATCACATTGCCAAAGCCACCTTTCAGATAGGTTGTTTTTTTCTGCTTCCTTGGCTGGTACCTGTGAAGTCTCTGAGGCTTAAATCCTCTTCCCCTCTTCTATTGTCTTAGCAATGCATGTGGCCTTCTTGATTTCAATCTAGTATTAGAAAGTTCCATGAACCCAACCTTTTCACTAAAGATGTGTTTACACTTTGTTCTTACCTGTCAGTCTTGCTTTAGCTGAAGGTTAAATTTAATCTTAAATTAGAGGAGGGTTCTTTGTATATAACTGAAAATAAAGAGCCCTACATTATAAGCTGATGGTCTTTCTCTTATTACTGAATTTTGCTTTTTTCTCTTCTTATAAATTGATTTTAACATAAGCGTTCTCTCTCTCTCTCTCTCTCTCTCTCTCTCTCTCCACACAAACACACACACACACTCACTCTCTCCCTCTCTCTCTGTTTGTATTCTTTAAGATGAAGTCTCACTCTGTCACCCAGGCTGGAGTCCAATGGTGCAATCTTGGCTCATTGTAACCTTCACCTCCTAGGTTCAAGTGATTCTCCTGCTTCAGCCTCCCGAATAGCTGGGATTACAGGCGCCCACCACCACCCCCAACTAATTTCTGGGTTTTTTTGAGACTGAGTTTTGCTCTTTCTTTTTTTTTTAAGATGGGGTTTCACTATGATGGCCAGGCTGGTCTTGAACTCCTGACCTCAGGTGATCCACCTACCTCGGCCTCCCAAAGGGCTAGGATTACAGGCGTGAGCCACTGCACCTGGTGAATTTTGCTCTTGTTGCCCAGGCTGGAGTGCAATAGTGCGATCTCAGCTTACTGCAGCCTCTGCCTCCTGGGTTCAAGTGATTCTCCAGTCTCAGCCTCCCAAGTAGCTGGGATTACAGGCATGTGCCACCACGCCCAGCTATTTTTTTTTTTTTTTTTTTTTTTTTTTTTGAAGCAGAGTCTTACTCTGTCGCCAGGTGCCAGGCTGGAGTGCAGTCGTGTAATCTTGGCTTACTACAACCTCCACCTCCCGGGTTCAAGCAGTTCTCCTGCGTCAGCCTCCCTAGTAGCTGGGACTACAGGCGTGTGCCACCACACCCAGCTAATTTTTGTATTTTAGTAGAGACATGGTTTCACCATGTTGGCCAAGATGGTCTCGATCTCCTGACTTTGTGATCCGCCTTCCTTGGCCTTCCAGAGTGCTGGAATTACAGCCATGGGCCACCCTGCCTGGCCAATTTTGTATTTTTATTTTTAGTAGAGACGGGGTTTCTCCATTTTGGTCAAGCTGGTCTTGAACTCCTAACCTCAGGTGATCCATCTGCCTTGACCCCACAAAGTGCTTGGATTACAGGCGTGAGCCACCTTACCTGGCCTAATTTTTGGATTTTTAGTAGAGACAGGATTTCACCATTTTGGCCGGGCTAGTCTCAAACTCCTGACCTCAAGTGATCCGTCCATCTTGGCCTTCCAAAGTGCTAGGATTACAGGTGTGAACCACCGTGCCTGGCCTGGGCCCTTCTTTTAAAAATAGTGGAAAATTGGCTGCGCGCAGTGGCACACGCCTGTAATCCTAGCATTTTAGGAGGTGAAGACAGGTGAATCACGAGGTCAGGAGATCAAGACCATCTTGCCAGCATGGTGAAACCCTGTCTCTACTAAAAATACAAAAATTAGCGGGGTGTGGTGGTGCATATCTGTAATCCCAGCTACTCAGGAGGCTGATGCAGGAGATCTGCTTGAAACAGGGAGGCAGATTGCAGTGAGCTGAGATCGTGCCATGGCACTCCAGCCTGGCGACAGAGGGAGACTCCTTCTCAAAAAAAAAAATGAAAAACAAAAAACTGGAAAATTACTGATAAAACTAAAGCCCCCTTTGACACCTCCTTTTCCCATCTTAGAATCCTTTCCTTCCTTTTTCCCCAGAATAGTTTCAGTTATGACTTAGTTGTGCTTTTGTTCAGATTTTTTAAAATACTTAAAAAAAAAAACTTTTTAATAGAGATAAGGTCTCACTATGTTGGCCAGGCTGGTCTTCCTGAACTCAATTGATCCTCCTGCCTCAGCCTCTTACAGTGCTGGGATTATAGGCATGAGTCACCACACCTGGCCTCAGATTTTCAAAAATACTCTTTTTTTGAGACAGAGTCTTGTTCTGTTGCCCAAGCTGGAGTGCAGTGGTGCGATCCCAGCTCACTACAGCCTCCTTCTCCCAGGTTCAAGCAATTCTCCTGCGTCAGCCTCCAGAGTGGCTGGGATTACAGGTGCCCACCAACATACCCAGTTGATTTTTGTATTTTTAGTAAAACCATGATCTCAGCTTACTGCAACCTCCACCTCCTTCAAGTGATTCTCATGCGTCAGCCCCCTCAGTAGCTGGGATGCGCCATTACGCCAGGCTAATTTTTATATTTTTTAGTAGAGACAGGATTTTGTCATGTTGACCCGGCTGGTCCTGAACTCCTGGCCTCAAGTGATCTGCCTACCTCGGCCTCACAAGGTACGAGGTGTGAGCCACCACACCCAGCCTGGCACATGTATGTTTAAAAGTATTTTTAAGCCAGGCGCAGTGGCTCATGCCTGAAATCCCACACTTTGGGAGGCTGAGGTGGGCAGATTCCCTGAGCCTCAGGAGTTTGATACCAGCCTGAGCACCATGGTGAGACCTTGTCTCTACTAAAAATACAAAAAAAAAAAATTAGCTGGGTGTGGTGGTGTGTGCCAGTAAGCTGAGATCAGGCCATTGCACTCCAGCCTGGATGACAGAGTAAGACTCTGTCTCAAAAAAAAAAAAAGAAAACCAAAAATCTGGCCGGTGCAGGTGCATTGGCTCATGCCTATAATCCCAGTGCTTTGAGAGGCCGAGGTAGGCAGAAGTCAGGAGTTCGAGACCAGCTTGGCCAACATAGTGAAACCCCATATCTACTAAAAATATAAAAGATTAGCCGGGCATGGTGTCAGCTGCCTGTAATCCTGGCTCTCAGGAGGCTGAGGTAGGAGAATGGCTTGAACCCAGGAGGCAGAGGTTGCAGTGAGCCAAGACTGTGCCACTGCACTCCAGCCTAGGCAACAGAGCAAGACTCTGTCAAAAAAAAAAAAAAAAAAGAGAAAGTAATTGTAAACAACCCAATAGATTGTTTCCAATTTTTTGCTTTTACCAACAGTACTATAATACATTTCTTGTCAATTCTCCTAGGGTAACTATGTTATTAGATGTTGACTACCAGTTTTACAAACAACTATCTTATATTTTTTTGTATTCTCCATAGGGATGCCATTGAAAAGTTATTTCCTGATGCCATTAGGATGAGACTTGAAGACATTCAGCAGAATAATGACATAGTCCAAAGTCTTGCAGCCTTTCAGAAATATGGAAACGATCAGATTCCTTTAGCTCCCAACACGGGCCGAGTGAATCAGCAGAGGGGAGGGGGATTTTTTTCTGGTGTGCTCACAGCTTTAACTGGAGTGGCAGTAAGTCGATCGCTGTGTTCCTCTGTGTCCCCCACACCTCACCCCCCAACCCCTGATTTCCACTGAAGTCAGTTCCGTTGAAATCGCTTAAACAATTGATGTGACTGCATATAATTCACTGCATACATTGAAATCTGCTGGGTTCTGTGATTTCTTCAGGTATGTTGCTTACTCAAGTAGATCATTTAATAGTACCTAGTAAATAGAGAAAGGTGGTAGAACTGGAATTCAAGACCAAGTCTGGCTTGGTAATAAAATCTTGCTCTGTCACCCAGGCTGGTGTGCAATGGTGCAGTCTAGGTAAAAGTGTTCTTTTAGGGTGATGAAAATGCTCTAAAACCAGCTGTGGTGATGATTATACATTTTTGTGAACACGTTAAAAACCATGGATTCTGTACTTCAAACATGAGAATTTTATGTGGATTACATCTCTCTCTCTCTCTCTCTTTTTTTTTTTAAAAAAACAGAGACAAGGTTTCACCGTGTTGGCCGGGATGGTCCTGATCTCTTGACCTCGTGATCCGCCCGCCTCGGCCTCCCAAAGTGCTGAGATTACAGGCATAAGCCACTGTTTTTTGTTTTTTGTTTTGAGACAGAGTTTCGCTCTTGTGACCCAGGCTGGAGTGCAATGGCGCAATCTCAGCTCACCGCAACCTACGCCTCCTGGGTTCAGGCAATTCTCCTGCCTCAGCCTCCCGAGTAGCTGGGATTACAGTCATGCGCCACCATGCCCAGCTAATTTTTTGTGTTTTTAATAGAGACCATGTTGACCAAGATGGTCTCGAGCTCTTGACCTCATGATCCACCCACCTCGGCCTCCCAAAGTGTTTGGTTTTTTTTATATATGAATTCTTGCCCTGTTGCCTAGACTGGAGTTCAGTGGCATCATCTGGGCTCACTGCAGCCTCCACCTCCTGGCTTCAAGCGTTTCTCCTGCCTCAGCTTCCTGAATAGCTGGGATTACAGGCATGTGTCACCACACCCAGCTCATTTTTGTATTTTTAGTAGAGATGGGATTACACCATGTTGGTCAGGCTGGTCTGGAACTGCTGACCTCGAGTGATCCACCTGCTTTGGACTCCCAAAGTGTCGGGATTATAGGGATGAGCCATTGTGCCCTGCCTTCCTTGGTAATACAATCTTAAGAACATACCAGTTAACTAAATTCCATTGTGAAGACTTTTTTCTTTCCAAGTTCTATGCATAAAAAATCTAAATGTTTTTCCAATGGAAAAGACACGAGTCAGTTACATTGAGCAAGTTGTTAGAGTCAAGGCACCAGCTGCTCCCAGGCGCCTGAGGTGAGTCCTCTTCTCACCTCTGTACCCTCACTGCCGAGCAATCAGCAGAGAGAGGTACCCAAGGACAGCTGTACTCCCAGATCTCTGTGGCAGTGGTGTTGCACTGCTTCTGTGTGCAGACTCCGTGTCATTCCCTATGAGCTCAGACTCTTCCTTTCCCTGCCTCCCAGCCACATATTTAGAAACTGGCATCTGTGCCTCCCCATGGTTTAAAGTCCCTGTCACTTTTCCCCAGGTGGTCCTGCTCGTCTATCACTGGAGCAGCAAGGAATCTGAACATGACCTCCTGGTCCACAAGGCTGTGTCAAAATGGACAGCAGAAGAAGTTGTCCTCTGGCTGGAGCAGCTGGGCCCTTGGACCTCTCTTTACAGGGAAAGGTTTTTATCTGAACGAGTAAATGGAAGGTGAGGAGCAAAGTCTTCTGACACACCATGGACATTTTAGAAAACAGCTTTATTGATATATAATCCACGTTGGGCCTGGTGGCTCACACCTGTATTCCCAGCACTTTGGGAGGATGAGACAGATGGGTCATTTGAGGTCAGGACTTTGAGACCAGCCTGACAAATACAGTGAAACCTCATCTCTACTAAAAATACAAAAAAAAAAAATAATAACTGAGTGTGGTGGTACGTGCCTGTAATGCCAGCTATTTGGGAGGCTAAGGCAGGAGAGTCTCTTGAACACAAGAGGTGGAAGTTGCAGTGAGCTGAGATCGTGTGACTGCACTCCAGCCTAGGCAACCGGGCAAGACTCTATCTCAAAAGAGAAAGATGAAATCCACATAAAATTCTCACGTTTGAAGTACACGATCCATGGGTTTTAATGTGTTCACAAATATGTGTAATCATGGCTACAGCTGGTTTTAGAACATTTTCAGCACCCTAAAAGAAAGCTTTTACCCTTTAGTTAATCCTCATTTCTCTCCAATCCCCTGCCCTGGCAAACACCTTTCTACTCTCTGTCTTTATGGATTTGCCTATTCTGGACATTTCATGTAAATGGATTTCATACAATACATGGTATTTTGTGTTCAACTTTTTCACTTGCCATAATTTTTTTCAAAGTTTACCCATGACATAGCATATATCAGTACTTCGTTTCTGTTTTTTTTTGAGATGGGGTCTAGCTCTGTTGCCCAGCCTGGAGAATACAGTGGCCTAATCTCAGCTCACTGCAACCTCCGCCTCCTGGGTTCAAGTGATTCTCCTGCCTCAGCTTCCTGAGTAGCTCGGATGCACCTGCCACCCCACCCAGCTAATTTTTATATTTTTAGTAGAGACGAGGTTTCATGGTGTTGGCCAGGCTGGTCTTAAACTCCTGACCTTGTGATCCACCCACCTCAGCCTCCCAAAGTGTTGGGATTACAGGTGTGAGCCACCGTGCCCAACCACTGTGTTCCTTTTTTTTTTTTTAATTGTGTTTTGTTGCACTGTTCAGATACTTCGTTCCTTTTTATAGCTAAATAATAATCTACTGTAAGAGTATACTGTATTTTATTTATCCATTCATTGGTTGATGGACATTTGGGATAACTCCATTTTTTGGCTATTGCGAATAATGATGCTATGATTGTTCATGTGCAGATTCTTTTTTGTTTCTTCTTCTTTTTTTTTTTTTTTGAGATAGAGTCTTGCTCTGTCACCCAGGCTGGAGTATAGTGGTGTGATCTTGGCTAACTGCAACCTCTGCCACCTGGTTTCAAGCAATTCTCCTGTCTCAGCCTCCTAAGTAGCTGGAATTACAGGTGGGCACTACCATGTGTGGCTAACTTTTGTATTTTTAGTAGAGATGGGGTTTCACCATGTTGGTCAGGCTGGTCTCAAACTCCTGTCCTTGTGATCCACCTGCCTTGGACTCCCAAAATGCTGGGATTACAGGCATGAGCCACCATGCCTGGCCCATGTGCAGATTCTTGCATGAACATGTAGTTTCTTTCTTTTTTTTTTTTTTCTTGAGACGGAGTTTCGCCCTTGCCACCCAGGCTGGAGTGCAATGGTGCGATCTCAGCTCACCACAACCTCCGCCTCCTGGGTTCAAGCAGTTCTCCTTCCTCAGCCTCCTGAGTAGTTGGGACTACAGGCGCACGCCACCATGCCCAGCTAATTTTTGTATTTTTAGTAGAGACAGTGTTTCACCTTGTTGACCAGGATTGTCTTGATCTCTTGACCTCGTGATCCACTTGCCTTGGCCTCCCAAAGTGCTGGGATTATAGGCGTGAGCCACCACGCCCAGCCTCTTTTTTTTTTTCTTATCAGTGGTTTGGCAGAGCCAGTGCGCTCCCTTTGTGACTCTCACCAAAGAGAACATATATTTTCAATACTGTCTTGAAGTGGAATGACTGATACATATGGTAACTTTATTCTGACTTTACGTACTGTCAAACTGTTTTCCACGTCAGCTATACTGTTTTATGTCCATGACATTTAAATTTTTTTTTGTTGCTTTTAGATTATAAAATTTTGTAAGGAAAAATTCTCTCTAATCACCAAAATCAACACAGAAGACTTCTGTGACCAAACGTGTGGGGTTCTTATACACACACCCAGCAGCAGACACCAGCTGGGTGTCCTCTAATTCATTTCCCACACTGTCTACCTAGAGATAGTGTCAGATTCCACAGGGTGAAGGCTCTGTCCCCAAGACTGCCCCTGACTAATACTAGTCACATATCCAGGCTTCCAGAATTTCTGACCTATCAATTTCAAGTTGGAGTTCCCATGACTTTCTTTTTGGGTTCGATTAATTTGCTGGAGCAGCTCACAGAACTCATGGAAACACACACTTACATTCACTGGTTTATTATAAAGGATATTACAAAGGATAAAGATAGACACTTGGGGCAAGGTATGGGGGAAGGGCACAGAGCTTCCATGCTCTCCATATGTGTGCTCCCCTCTAGGAATGTCACTTGCTCAGCTATCCGGAAGCTTGTGAATACTGTCCTCTTGAGTTTTTTTGGTTTTGTTTTTATTTTTTTCAGACAGGGTCTTACTCTGTGGCCCAGGCTGGAGTGCAGTGGCATGACCTTGACTCACTGCAACCTCTGCCTCTTAGGCTCAAGGAATTCTACCTCAGCCTCCAAAGTAGCTGGAACTACAGGCATGTGCCATCACGTCCAGCTAATTTTTGTATTTTTAATAGAGATAGGGTTTTGCCATGTCATCCAGGCTGGTCTTGAACTCCTGGACTCAAACCATCTGCCTACCTGAGCCTCCCAAAGATTTGTGATTACAGGCTTGAGCCCTACACCCTCCTTATGGGAAATTCTTAAGACCCACAATCAGAAAGAGGGAAAGATGAAAGTAAAAGAGAGCCGGACATACCTGACTTTTTTTTTTTTTTGAGATGGAGTCTCGCTCCTTCGCCCAGTCTGGTGTGGCTGGAGTGTAGTGACGTGATCTCGGTTTACTGCAGCCTCCACCTCCAAGGTACCAGCGATTCTCCTGCCTCAGTCTCCTGAGTACCTGGGATTAAAGGCGTGCACCACCAAGCCCAGCTAATTTTTCTATTTTTAGTAGAGACGATGTTTCACCATGTTGACCAGGCTGGTGTTGAATTCCTGACCTCAGGTGATCTGCCTGCTTCGACCTCCCAGAGTGCTGGGATTACGGGAGTGAGCCACTGCGCCCGGCGTCCACCATTTTAACACAGATTGGAATAAGGGATATAGCAGCTATGAGCTGGGAACTATGGACAAAAGCCAATATATAGCACCACATTAATATATATTTATTTTTATATTATTTTATTTTTTTGAGATGGAGTCTCACTCTGTCTCCCAGACTGGAGTGCAGTCGCAGCAATCTCAGCTCACTGCAACCTTTGCCTCCTGGGTTCAAGTGAATCCCCTGCCTCAACCTCCCAAGTAGCTGGGATTACAGGTGCCCACCATCATGCCTGGCTAATTTTTATATTTTTAGTAGAGATGGGGTTTCGTCATGTTGGTCAGGCTGGTCTCAAACACCCGACCTCTGGTGATTTGCCCACCTCAGCCTCCCAAAGTGCTGGGATTACGGGCATGAGCCACCATGCCTGGCAAATGTATATTTATTTTTAAAAAAATAATATTGAACTGGGTGGGCGCAGTGGTCATACTTGTAATCCCAGAACTTTGGGAGGCCAAGATGGGCGGATCACCTGAGGTCGGGAGTTCAAGACCTGCCTGACCAACATGGAGAAACCCCATCTCTATTAAAAATACAAAATTAGCTGGGAGTGGGGGCCCATGCCTATAATCCCAGCTACTCAGGAGCCTGAGGCAGGGAAATCGCTTGAAGCCAGGAGGCAGAGATTGCAGTGAGCTGAGATCGTACCATTGCACTCCAGCCTGGGTGACAGAGCGAGTCTCTGTCTCAAAATCACAATAATAGTAATAATAATAATATAGACCTATGTGATATTGAAAGTGACATACCTTTGTAATCCTAATCTTCAGAAAAACACTTACCTTCCTAGACATCTTTCCAGATGTTTCAGTACTTATACAGATATAAATATGTAAACGTGTATTTTTAAATTTTAAACTGAAAATATGATTGTACTAAACAGATCTGTTTGTATATATACATGTGCATATGTATTTACATCTGTATCCACCCCCTGAGTAAGGGTGTTACATATAATATCACACAGTGATAAGAGCAGCCACTCCCTAATTCATTTGTTTCAGACACCCGCTTCACTCACTGCCTGGCTGCCTAACTGCCACCCCTCCCACTCCAGTGACTTTTTCCTTCCTCTCCGCTGAGCTTTCAATACTTAACTCTTTTTTGAGGAAATGATATGTTCCTACTTTAATTTGCTTTACGTGGAAATTCACCTCCCCCAAAATTATGTTATAAAATTTCTCTACTTAGTTAGTACAGTCTATTTTTGCATAGTTTTCTAGAGTACAAATGGAACTGGAATTGCTGGCGCAAAGGGAGTAATCTGTAGAAATTTAATAAGCATCACCAAATTACCCACAAAAGGACCATCAATTTACACTACTCAACCAGTAGTTGTGTATGCCTGCTAGTAGCTCTTTGGCCAGCTTACAGTGATGTTTTTAATGATGAATCACTGTGGAGGGGATTTCATGTGTTTTCTTTTTCTTCTGTTTTGTTTTTTTACATTGAGATGGAGTCTTGCTCTGTCACCCAGGCTGAAGTGCAGTGCCATGATATCAGCGCACTGTAACCTCCACCTCCTGAGTTCAAGCGATTCTCCTGCGTCAGCCTCCTGAGTAACTGGGATTACAGGTGCACACAACCACACCTTGCTAATTTTTTTATTTGTAGTAGAGACAGAGTTTTACCACATTGGCCACGCTGGTCTTGAACTCCTGACCTCAGGTGATCTTCCCTGCTTGGCCTCCCAAAGTTTGAGATTATAGGCGTGAGTCACCACCCCTAGCCTTTTTTGCAGGGATTGTTTTGAGACGAAGTCTTGCTGTCTAACCCAGGTTGGAGTGCAGTGGCATAATCTCAGCTCACTGCAGCCTCCGCCTCCTGGGTTCAAACAATTCTCTTACCTCAGCTTCCTGAGTAGCTAGGACTAGAGTTGCGAGCTACCACACCTAGCTAATTTGTATTTTTAGTAGAGACAGGGTTTTGCCATGTTGGCCAGGCTGGTCTCAAACTCCTGATCTCAGATGATTTACCCTCCTCAGCCTCCCAGAGTGCTGAGATGAATAGGCGTGAGCCACCGTCCCCAGCCAGAGTTCGTGTTTTCTGATGAGGAAATGAGCTACAGTATCACCAATAGTTTTTATTCAAGTAAATCCCTACTGTAAAACAACTACTTTTTTTTTCTTCAAGAGAGTCTCTCTCTGTCATCCAGGCTAGAGTGCAGTAGCACTATCATAACTCACGACAGTCTCAAAGTCCTGCATTCAAGCAATCCTTCTGCTTCAGCAGCCCAAACAATTAAAATGACAGGTGCATGCCACCATGCCTGGCTAATTTTTTGGTTTTTTAGAGAGGCAGGGTCTCATTATGTTGCCCAGGCTAGTCTCACCCGGGCTTAAGTAATACTTCTTCCTCAACATACGAAAGCAGAGTAATATGTGAGAGGTCAGAGCATATAACTGAAAGCTCAAAGGTGTAGGAACAAAACAGACCTAGGAATGCCTTGGGAAAGTGACCTTATTTTTCTAAGCGAGTTTTCTTTTTTTTTTTTTAATTTGAGAAGGAGTCTCACTCTGTCACCCGGGCTGGAGGCTGGAGTGCAGGGCGAGATTTTAGCTCACTACAACCTCCACCTCCTGGGTTCAAGCAATTCTCCTGCCTCAGCCTCCCAAGTAGCTGGGATTACAAGCATGCGCCACCAAGCCTGGCTAAGTTTTGTACTTTTAGTAGAGATGGGATTTCACCATGTTGGCTGGGCTAGTGTTAAACTCCTGACTTCAAGTGATCCACCCACCTTGGCCTCCCAAAGTGTTGGGATTAGGTATGGACCACTGCGCCCAACCAAAGCGAGTTTTCTGACCTACAAAAGCAGCATAATGCTCCCTACCCTGAAGAACTGTTTTATGAATCAGTGATAACTTATGAAAATATTTACAGATAGTCACTGGTAAATAGTAAGCATTCAATTATTTGTTGCTATTAATGCTGCTAAATGTGAATTGTCTCACCATACCGCAAGCCTAAGGAATTTATGTTGATAAGAGGGAACTCTGAATGTAGAAAGTTTGCTTCCAGTATATAATTGCAAAATAAATCTCCTCCTACCTCTCCACAGGTTGCTTTTAACTTTGACGGAGGAAGAATTTTCCAAGTCTCCATATACCATAGAAAACAGCAGCCACAGGAGAGCCATCCTCATGGAGTTGGAACGTGTAAAAGCATTAGGTGTGAAGCCCCCCCAGAATCTCTGGGAATATAAGGTGAATGGTTTAATTTTTTTTTAGTTATTATTATTGCTATCTTGCTTTTTATTTTTATTTTTTGTTGATTTTTAAATTTTCAGTTTTATATTTTTTTAGTTTTGACTAATTTATGTATTTATTGAGACAGAGTTCTGCTCTGTTGCCCAGGCTGGAGTGCAGTGGCACAATCTCAGCTCAATGCTACCCCTGCCTCCCAGGTTCAATCCTCCAGAGTAGGTGGGATTACCACACCCAGCTAATTTTTTCTTCTTCTTTTTTTTTTCTGGCTCACTGCAACCTCCACCTCCCAGGTTCAAGTGATTCTCCTGCCTCAGTTTATCAAGCAGCTGGGATTACAGGCAAATGCTACCATGCCCAGCTAATATTTATGTTTTTAGTAGAGATGGGGTTTCAGGATATTGCCCACACTGGTCTTAAAGTCCTGACCTCGTGATCTGGCTGCCTCAGCCTCCCAAACTGCTGGGATTATAGGCATGAGCCACCGTGCCCAGCCTTGTTTTACAAACAAATACACTGAATATTTTATTTGCTTTTATTTATTTATTATTTATTTTGAGGCAGAGTTTCGCTCTTGTTACCCAGGCTGGAGTGCAATGGCGCGATCTCGGCTCACCGCAACCTCCACCTCCTGGGTTCAGGCAATTCTCCTGCCTCAGCCTCCTGAGTAGCTGGGATTACAGGCACACGCCACCATGCCCAGCTAATTTTTTGTATTTTTAGTAGAGATGGGTTTCACCATGTTGACCCGGATGGTCTCGATCTCTTGACCTCGTGGTCCACCTGCCTCAGCCTCCCAAAGTGCTGGGATTACAGGCTTGAGCCACCGCACCCGGCCTATTTGCTTTTAAAATAGAGCTCCAGGGATCTAGGCCAGGAATTGGAAACCAGCCTGGGTAACAAAGCACAACCCTATCTCTAAAAGTTAGCTGGGCACAGTGATGTGCACCTGTAGTCTGAGCTACCAGGGAGGCTGAGGTAGGAGGATCACCTGAGCCTTGGAGGTTGAGGCTGTAATAAACGATGATTGTACAACTGCATTCCAGCCTGGGCAATAGAGCAAGACCTTGTCTCAAAATAATAATAGGTTGGGCACGGTGGCTCATGCCTGTAATCCCAGCACTTTGGGATGCCAAGGTGGGCGGATCGCCTGAGGTCAGGAGTTCCAGACCAGCCTAGCCAATAGGGTGAAACCCTGTCTCTACTAAAAATACAAAACTTAGGCAGAAGTGGTGGCGAGTGCCTGTAATCATAGCTACTCATGAGGCTGAGGCAGGAGAATTGCTTGAACCCAAGAGGAGGAGGCTACAGAGAACTGAGATCATGCCACTGTACTCCAGCCTCTGTGACAACGAGACTCCATCTCAAAATAATAATAATAATAATATAAAGAAAGAGATGCTCATGTGTTTTGGGGAACCTGAATTGTTGCAATATCACTGGAGGACAATTTGTCAATAACATTTAAATTTAAACCACACCGGCTCCTTAAGCCAGCATTTCACACCTTTGCACTTAGAATGAAGGCAGCATGGTATGGTGATCAACACTGCTGCACTCCAGCCTGGGGGACAGAGCAAGACTCCATCTCAGGAAAAAACCCAAAGAACGAAAACAAAAAGAGTGAAGCTCTGGGCTGGGCACGGTGGCTCACGACTATAATGCCAGTACTTTGGAAGACTGAAGTGGGAGGATTGCTTGGGTCCAGGAGTTCAAGACTAGCCTGGGTAAGATGGCAAGACCCCATTTCTATAAAAAGAAAACACACACACACAAAAATTAGTTGAGTGTGATGGTGCTACTCAGGAGGCTGCTGTGCCAGCCACTTGGGAGGCTGAGGCTGTAGTGAACCATGACTGAGCCACTGCACTCCAACCTGGGCAACAGAATGAGACCCTGTTTCAAAAAAACAAAAAAAAGTAAGGCCCTGGCACTAGCCTGCCTGGGCCAGCTCCTCCAAGACACACCCCCTGTTGGAATACCAGCAAGTACCTGCACCTCTCTTTGCCTGTTTTCTCCTGGGTAAATAACCTTACAGGATCATTGTGAGACTCTAACGTTTGATTAACGGAAAGTCATTAAACAAGTTTTTCACTGCAGCATTGTTGTTAATTACAGGGAGTAGAAAACAACCTAAGTGCCCCTTGTTAGGAACAAGTTGAATAAATAAGGCACACCCATGTAGGCAGCCACTGGAAAAAGCAGACGGAGACTCTTAGTTAATAAGGGACGTTCGCCCAGGCAAGGTGGCTCATGCCTGTAATCCCAACACTTTAGGAGGCCTAGGTAGGCACAACACTTGAAGTCAGGAGTTCAAGACCAGCCTGGCCAACATGGCTAAACCCCATCTCTACTAAAATGTATAAAAATTAGCCACGTATGGTAGTGTGCTCCTGTAATCCCAGCTACTCAGGAGACTGAGGCCGGAGAATTCCTTGAACCTGGGAGGCGGAGGCTACAGTGAGCCAAGATTGTGCCACTGCACTCCAGCCTAGGCGACAGAGCAAGACTGTCTCAAAAAAATAAATAAGGAAGATTGTTCAAGATGTATTGGTAACTAAAAATAGAGAAAAGCATATTAGAAAACATAAGTATGTATGCATATGTTTGCATATGCATAGAAAATGTCTGGATGGGCCGGGCACGGTGGCTCATGCCTATAATCCCAGCACTTTGGGAGGCCGAGGTGGGTGGATCACAAGGTCAAGAGATTGAGACCATCCTGGTCAACATGGTGAAACCCCGTCTCTACTAAAAGTACAAAAATTAGCTGGGCATGGTGGCACGAGCCTGTAGTCCTAGCTACTCGGGAGGCTGAGGCAGGAGAATTGCTTGAACCCAGGAGGCAGAGATTGCGGTGAGCCGAGATCACGCCATTGCACTCCAGTCTGGATAACAACAAAACTCCATGTCAAAAAAAAAAAAAAGAAAATTTCTGAATGAATACAGAAAATGTTACCAGCAGTAAATGAGATTTGAATAGGAAGGAAAACTTTGTCAGTTAAGGGAGTTATTATATTTGAAAAAATGCTTGTTTATGGACTGGGTGTGGTGGCTCTTGCCTGTAATTCCAGCACTTTGGGAGGCTGAGGTGGGTGGATCACTTGAGGCCAGGAGTTCCAGACCAGGCTGGTCAACATGGTAAAATCTCATCTCTACTAAAACACAAAAATTAGCTGGTGTGGTGGTGGACGCCTGTAGTCCCAGCTACTCTGGAGGCTGTGGCAGGAGAATTGCTTGACCCGGGTGGCAGAGGTTGCAGTGAGTTGAGGTCGTGCCACTGTACTCCAGCCTGAGTGACAGAGGGAGACTCTCTCTCAAAAAAAGAAAAAATTATTGTTTACTATGTGCATGTATTACTTTAATAACTAGTTTCAAATATTTTAAAGAATGGGCGTGGGGTTCCTGAAGTAGAATATTTGTTATTTTTTTGTGTTATCAGGTTTGTTTGTTTTCATTTTTGTTTTTTGAGAAAGAGTCTCACTGTTGCCCGGGCTGGAGTGCAGTGGTGTGACCTTAGCTCACTGCAACCTCCACCTTCCAGGTTCAAGCGATTCTTGTGCCTCAGCCTCCAGAGTAGCTCAGACTACATGCACGTGCCACCACACCCAACTAATTTTTTTTTAATAGACAGGGTTTCACCATGTTGGCCAGGCTGGTCTTGAACTCCTGACATCAAGTGATCCTCCCACCTCAGTCTCCCAAACTGCTGGAATTACAGGTGTAATGCACCACAGCTGGCCAAACTCTGGACTTTTTGTCACCAATATTAGTCTCATGATAGCTTTTAATACCTGGCAGAACATGGCTGGGCATAGTGGCATATGTCCCTGTAGTCCCAACCACTCAAGAGGCTGAGGTGGGAGGATCACAGGAATCCGGGAGTTCAAATCCATCCTGGGAAACAGCGAGACCTCATCTCTAAAAATTTTTTGTTTAACTAGTGGAACATTTTTGAATCTTGTATCCAGCAATCACCCCTGATTTAAAATATATACACATAGTCTTTTTTTTTTTTTTTTTTTGAGACGGAGTTTTGCTCTTGTTACCCAGGCTGGAGTGCAATGGCGTGATCTCAGCTCACCGCAACCTCTGCCTCCTGGGTTCAGGCAATTCTCCTGCCTCAGCCTCCTGAGTAGCCGGGATTACAGGCACGCGCCACCATCCCCAGCTAATTTTTTTTGTATTTTTAGTAGAGACGGGGTTTCACCATGTTGACCAGGATGGTCTCGATCTCTTGACCTCGTGATCCACCCGCCTCAGTCTCCCAAAGTGCTGGGATTACAGGCGTGAGCCACCGCGCCAGGCCACACACATAGTCTTATAATCTTAATATCAACTAGAACACATGGGAATGTGACTGTGGCCCTGGTGTAATAGAATCTTTTTTTTTTTTTGAGACAGAGTTTCGCTATGTCGCCCAGGCTGGAATGCAGTGGTGCCATCTTGGCTCACTGTAGCCTTGACTTCACGGGTTTTTCAAAGGATTCTTGTGCCTCAGCCTCCCAAATACCTGGGACTACAGGCATGTGCCACCACCCCTGGGTAATTTTTGCATTTTTAGTAGAGACAGGGTTTCACCATATTGCCCAGGCTCGTCTCAAACTCCTGTTGTCAAGGATCTGCCCTCCTTGGCCTCCTAAAGTGTTGGGATTATAGGCATGAGCCAGGGCGACTTGCCCCACAAGCAGAAGCTTATCCTCAGGGAGCTCCTTCAGCTCTTTCATCTTCCCATCCCCTCCCTGAGGGCAGGATTTGAGGATTAGCAGAGAGATTCCTGTATCCCAGTGCAAATTCTAAATGCCACTGTTCTCAGCCAGCAGCATAAAAGAGAAGGTTCCCTTCTGTGCTGTCATGATGCTCACCTCACTGGGTGGTGGGGTGCCCCCCCCACCGCAGCTGATGGGAAGTAGCCAAGAGTTGGATCATTTGGTTCCACACTCACACCAACACAAGACCCATAGACTTGTGACCTGGCTACCTCCCTTTCTCTTGTCCTT